ACTATAAGAATGTGTATTGACTATCGGGAGATAAACAAAGCTATGATCAACAATAAGTATCATTTACCTTGGATAGATGACATATTTGATCAATTGTAGAGAGCAATGTTTTCTCCAAAATTGATCTCAGGTCAGGTTATCACTAGTTAAGGATTAGGGGGCAAGATATCAAGAAGACAACCTTTATAACCCGATATGGACACTATGAAGTCCTCGTTATGTCATTCGGACTAAAAAATGCTTTAGCAACATTCATGGATCAGATGCATCGAGTTTGTAAACCTTTTCTTGATAAATCAGTAATAGTGTTCATAGATGACATCTTGATTTACTCCAAGAACAATCAAGATCATGGAAAACATCTTCGAGATGTCCTGGAAGTACTTAAGAGGGATAACCATTATGAAAATTTCTCCAAGTGCGAATTTTGGATACGGGAGATTCAGTTCTTAGGTCATGTAGTTAACAAAGAAGTCATTATGGCTGACCCAACAAAGATAGAATATGTAATGAAGTGGGAGACACCAAAGAGTCTTACTAAAATCTATAGTTTTCTGGGATTGGTAGGCTACTATCAAAGATTTATTCAAAATGTCTCTTCTATTGTTGCTCCATTAACAACCCTGGCCAAAAGGGAGTTGTCTATACTTGGAGCGAGAAGCAAGAAATAGCTTTTGGGTGAATTGAAGAAGAGATTGTAGGAGGTACCAATCCTCGTCCTACCAGAAGGAATTAAAGATTCACAGTTTTCAGTGATGCTTCTAAGATTGGATTGGGAAGTGTCCTTACCCAAAGGGACAAAGTAGTAGCTTACGCCTCAAGAAAACTAAAGCCCCATGACACCCACCCTGTATGTTTTAGAGCCAACGATGTTTTGGAGTTCCCTGTATATCTTCCTTGAGGAGGTAAGAAACCTATCTTGTCATGTGATATGTCAAAAACATTTTCGACATCATCCATGGGGGTAACAATTCTTCCAAATTGGTGTGCAATTAATGGTGGCATAGAAAAATTAATTTTTTAATTAATTTTTTTTGTTATGGGGACAGTTGCCCCCGTTGTAGGTCCGCCCCATATCTCAACCTACATACTTGACAATTAGTACATAAAATATTTCCAAAAACATGTAAGAAGTTATTATGTATACAAAAATGGTTCAACCTACATACTTGACAATTAGTACATAAAATATTTCCAAAAACATGTAAGAAGTTATTATGTATACAAAAAGGGTTCAAATATGAATCTTACAAAGATTAGGAAGTAACATAAACTAATTAATACATGGAAAATGACTCAGGAGGGTAACTGATTGTTGATTTTGTTCACATTTGGTCTTTTTCGTTTTTTTATATGCAATATACCATCTAACTTATTGTTTATGTTGACCATAACATTTTTGACCGGTTATTGAAGGTTCCGGGTGTCTTTGTCTTCTCTGGCAACTCTACGGTCACCTTCTCCATCGAAACATGGATATTCTTGCGAGTTATTGGTAAATCAGATGTGTATTGAGGAGCATGTCCTTAAACTTTTATTTGTTCCATTAAAATATTGTTTGACAAGAATCCATTGTCATTTTCCCATACGCCACCATCATCCTTTGTTGTATAAAACAAAATACCATCTAAGAACAATGAAGCTTCGATTTTTTAATACTCCTGAAAACTCTGTGAAATCTAGAACATGTGAAGCTTCGATTTGCAATTTGCAATTTTGATATTTGAAGTTGAACTATGGTTTCAATTTGCGATTTGCTATTTCGATTTTTGCAAGTGAACTAGGGTTTCAATTTTGAAGAACTCATAAGAACAATGAAGCTTTGATTTGCGAGTTTTTTTTTTATATTGGATTTTAGAGCTCGATTTTGTATGAAATGTGTTCTTCGTGTGTGTTCTTCAAATCTAGACACAACTTCCTTAAGCTCGATTTTGCCATCTTGTACAAACGATTTCTGGAAACAATATGTGTAAAATGTTCTTCAAATCTTGAAAGTTCTTCAAATCTAATGAACGATTTCTTGAAACCTTAATCTTCATTCGATTTTAAACCCACGAATCTAGAAGCATTCGAGTTTAAACCCAGAAATTCGGAACTCTTCAACCCTACTGATTTGGAACCCTTCAAACTCGTTGGTTTCAGATGTATGTTCCAGAAATCTACCAAAGATGAACTTGAAATCTGCCATGGATGACCGGAATATTCATGTTTCGTCGGAGTCTCACCAGAGAATGTGACCGGAGAGTCGCTAGAGAGGACAAAGACATTGGAAACCTTCAATGATAGTCGGTCAAAAGGATTATAGTGAACACGAACAACATGTTAGATAGATATATTGCATACAAAAAAAAGGACCAAATGTAAACAAAATCAATAGTTGGTTACAATCTTGAGTCATTTTCCGATCAATATAAGCCTTTGACTCTTCATCAATTATAAAAAAAATTGTAATGTATTACATCATATCCGTCCATTTTCTTTTAATCAAATTTAAGATTGGTTTTGGGTTTCAATGGTTCTTACACATCACACAAAAATTACCGATAAATACTTTCTAACCATCCTTTATTTTTACTGTAATAAGAGTCATTGTGAAACTATTATTGAGATATCGGCTTTTTTTGCCACATACATAAGCCTCACACATTCGTTATACAAAACCTTGATTTTTATTAATCTGCAATATACATATTTTTTTAGTCACAAACATAATTATTACATTTCTCATAATATTGCGGATTGTATGCATGCTACTCTTCTCGACTTGTTCTCTCTAGTTTTGTAGCTTTTTGCATTAAAGGCGTAAGTTCTTATTTCCAAATACCTTTCTATGTACCATCCTACAACATGATTTATGCTTTTGATTTCATATTAGGCAATTGGCTTTCAATTTCTCCTTAACTTGTTCTAAGATTTGTTTTCCTTTCCGTTGTGTATTGCCAACTAGGTATGAAACTCATATATTACATGAGTTTACTTAAAAAAAAAAACTAAATATAAAATTCTAAAATTTGAGAAGTTTGAATTTATATATAAACAAAATGAGAAAAATATTGAATTATAAAAATTAAAGTGTTTTTTTCTTTAAATTTAAACAAATAATTTATATAAATAAATAAAGAAAATTAATGAAGCTTTAATTTATTAATTTTGAAATTAAAATGAAAGTTCATTAAAAAAAATCAATATGCATTTATTAATGTATTTAAATACTATGGAATTTAATACATATAAAACCATAAAATGACATGTGAAAGAAAAATTCAAAATAACCACAAAATGATATTTGATAAGTTGAATGATAGTTTGACAAGTAGAAAAAAAAAACTTTTTATTTATTAGAGAAGATATACATGTCTTCTTTTATTCAACTTGCTTATTATAACAAATAAATAGGGAAAACCTCAGAAAAACCCAACGTATTTTCATTAAATGCTTAAAAAAACCATTATATTATTTTTTTAGTTCACTAAAACCCTTACATTTTCGGAAACTCTTATTTAAGGTTTTTTGACCTCAGAAAAACCTAATATATTTTCATGAAATGATTAAGAAAATCATTATATCATTTTTTTAGTGCATTTAAGCCTCATATTTTTAAATTTTTTTTAATCTAATAGATTGTAATAATCAAAACATTAAGAATCGATTACTTAGCATTTTCGGCTATCTAAGATATACCGAGCTTGATGCCTTCTGTGATTTATTTAAAAAAAAAATACAAGGGTTTTACCAAACAAATAAATAATATAGTGGTTTTTTTAAGATTTTGATGAAAATATGTAGGGTTTTTATAACGTTTTCCCAAATAAATAACCTAACTCATGCAAATTCATTCATTTATTGTTTTGCCCATATACCTTTGTTAAATTATTATGTTAATGTCATTAAAGATAACACACTATTTTTTTTTAGATAAAATACTACTATCATGGGGGCGTTGAGGGGGGGGGGGGGGGTAAAATAGGTAGTTGTACAAGATTCAATTTTTTTTATTTTATATTTTTATTTAAGAATAAAAAATTATAATAAAGATAAGAATCCTTTTTTTTTTGTTCGTTGTGAGCCTTTAAAAATATTTAATTTTTCAGGACCGATTCTGACCGTTATTTTAGAAAAGCACTGTGAGAAGGCAAGCTACTAGAATTTTATGTTGACAAAATACCAAGGTTCTAAAAAGCTCGCCATGGCTCCGCCATTGCGCGCCACGACTCCAAGGTTTACACCTACCGCCAAGCTTTGCCAAAATGCTGCCTAAACTAATATGCATGTATAAAAATGAATAATAGTTGAAAATACATATAAAAATATTAATTATATAGAAAATTGCCGCTTTAAGTCACGCCTTACAAACATCATGACTCGCTAAGGATCACAAAAGCTTGAGGCTTGACATTGCCACCAAGTCACGCCTTTTCAGGTCTAAATAGATTTTTATGGCTAAATGGACCGGAAAGGCCATTTGATTTACACAAAAAAAACGACAAAACTTCAAAAATGGTCCCTGTGGTTTTCGAAAATATCAAGTTTAGTCCCTAAGTTCGATTCACAAATGGTCCCTGTGGTTTCAAAACTTTTAACAAATGATCTTTTTCGCTAACTCCGTTAATATTTAGCCGTTAAGTGAAGGGCATTTCTGTCATTTCATATCCACAGGGGACCATTTATCAAGTTTTGCCTTAATTTTAAAAAAATAATAATAAATATAATTATTTAATATTAAACATCCTCTCTCTCTCTCTCTCTCTCTCTCTCTCTCTCTCTCGTGAATCAAATCACTCTTCGTTGCCCCCACCATCGCATCATTCCTCATCGTTTGTCACCACCAAATTCTACAACCGGGTCCTCTGGTAAACACTCTGATCCCCATCCCATCCTTCTTTTCCTCCCTAAAAGTTCACCAAGAAACGGGGTCTCCGTTTTAGTTACCGGAACAGACATGAAATCGATTAGCAACCCCAATGAAACCATTCACAAAATCAAGAAACAGATTCTCCGTTTTAGTCATCGGAGCAGCCAGAAGACGAAATGGGGACAACCCTCCTCCACCCCTCCTCCTGTTGATCGGAAACAACCAAACACCCCTGAGGATCGTTGCTTCCCTCCACTGCTACTTCGATGTTTCCTTCCATTCCTCCCTCGGGTTTTTCCAATGGAATAGAGAAGGAACGACCAAGGAGGCCACCGGAGCAACCCCCTAGCTATAACAGTCACCCAACATCATAAGTTGCCTTCGTTTTCTTCCTTCATTTTGGCGATTTTCCAAACCCCCCACCGAACCACCTTTGCTTCCATTCTTCTTTCTCCATTCGATCCAGTGTTTCCCATTCCCCTCGATGTAATCGCCGACAACGAGAGAAGAGCCAAGGGGAGTTTACTGGAGATCGACTCCCTTCTTGCGATCTATTTAACCATCAAACCACCATTTTGACTGCTTTCATTCGTTTTCCTTCTTCCCTTTCCCAATCAATGAAGAAGAGGTGTAAACCAACAAGGGGTTATCGGTCTCAACGAACACCCTTTTCCCTCCTCGTGATTTCCCAGCCGCACCGGACCTCCCATCGATATGTCTTTCGTTCGTTTGTTCCTTGCCCAATCTGATGGATACGATGATTATTCAAGGTCAAAGTTGGTTTGGCTTTTTGGGGAAGATGAAGCTATAAGAATACGTATTGTATAAGTCTCAAAGCAATAGGGGGAGAGAGAGAGAGAGAGAGAGGTTAAATTTCTTTCATTTTTCTTTTTCTTTTTTTTATAAAAAAAATTAAGATAATAAGAGAAAACCTCATAAATGGTCCCCGGATATTGAAATGATGAAAATACCCCTCATTTAACGGTAGAAAGCTGACGGAGTTAGGCGAAAGAACTAAACATTAAAAGTTTTGAAACCACAAGGACCATTTGTGAGGTTTTTTGAACTTAGGAACTAAACTTAATATTTTCAGAAACCACAATGACCATTTTTGAAGTTTTGTAAAAAAAACGGGTATTTTTCAGTAAGATATATTTTTCCTAGAAAGCCACAAAACCATATCTTTCTGATTGAATGGACTGGAAAAACTATTGTGTCCCAAACCTCGCTTCGTTCTTTCTTAGACTAATAATTTTTTAAAATTTTTTTTTTATTGAATTATTACTTTTTTATTGGATTATTATATATTAATAAATATTATTTATAATATATAATATTTATATATTAATAAATATTACTTTATTGGATTATTAATTTCTTTTAGTTAATTTTTTAATACATTTTTATTGGATTAATTCTTTTTTACAACACCACCATCATCCTAATTTATTTTAAAAAATCACATCCATCTCAGCACCATCAGACATAAAATGGATCAAGAATCACACGTTGGGTTATAAAAAAAAACTAAAATGGTTAGAAAGAATAACAACGTAACATCAACTTGAAAAACAATAAACTAAATAACCTAATCAACATTTTATTTGGGTTTTAATTGATTTGTGTTTAATTATTGTATAAAAATTTATACTTAGATTTTTAAATGATTATTATGTAATTTTGATTTTTTTTGTATGACGATTTGTATATTTTTATAGTTATTCAATAACTTCATCTATCACAGTTTAGAAGAACATTTATCATTCAATATAATCAACCAAATGTATAATCAAATAACATAATTTCTTTTCCGAACAACGTTTTCACAATCAACATTTTTTCAAAGAACCACCATCAAACAGACCTAACTTTAACTATAAACCCTAAGCCATAAAACTAAAATTCTGTTACTAGCCCATATAATATATTTAGTTGGGCTTTTTTCTTCAACTAGATTATTATGTTTTCCCTTATCGTCTTTTCAATATAATAGCAAACATTATTGTATAAACTTAAATTTATATCAAACAACAAACCTAATTTTTGTGCAATGAGACCATTATAGTTTCTACAACGTTTTACATGTATTGAAAAAAGACTTGTACTATGTCAACGTTTTCAAAATTCTTTCGGGTATTTCTTTAAACAATACAAAAACACAAACATAAAACACATATCCAAACTCTATATCTCATTATCATAATCTATACCGATAAAATTAATCAAATGTATCACACGTTTTTACTAGAAAACATCCCATAATTAACATTTAACAAAAACACAATATTTTATTATTTTATTATTTTCACTACGATTGCGATGCAGCCATAGACTTCACCTTCTTTGGAGGCGGGTTTCCTCCTGACAGCATCACATAAGTATAGAAGCATAACATAGCACCACTGTCAAAGAATAAACACCACATTTTTTTATTTAAAAAAAAAAAAAAGTTAAAATAATAATAATAAAATTTAAGCCTAACAAACAACAATTCTAATTTGCGACTATTTACCTCAAAACAACATGGAATCCGGTTGGTAAAATCTTCTTTGTCTGCAAATTAAAATTACGCGATGTTACGTTTTTTCAAAAAAAATATATTTTTCACGATTTATATCTTCTTTTTACAGAAGATATAAATATAATTATAAATAACAACTTATAAAATTGGAAGACATTTTGATATGAGTTGAATAGTTTAATAGAATCGGAAGTTACCAATGAATAGGTTTGAATGTTCTTCCAAAGGAGCATAGCTGCAATACCTGTAAAATCCTCAAAAGATAATATTTATACTTCACATTTTTCACCTTTGATTTTAGGTTTAATGTAATAAATTCATTATTTACCTGTTTGCCCAAGAATAAATGGTAAGCTGGAATGCCCATTTCTCCATATCTTTAAGCTTAAAAAGCTTAGGGCCATTAAAGCACCTCCATAGAGTCCACCATTTATCAAAGAAGCAGGATTTCTTGAAAAAATAAACCCCAAAACCCCCCCACTAAAAACAATGCCACCTACAGAGAGATAAAAATGAATTTGTATATATTATCAGATGTAGCAATAAGAAGAACTCACCATATGGAAGTCCAAAACAGAAATCATGAATCTTTGCTGATCGTTTTTGTTCAGAGACTACATGTTCCTCTGGTTCATTAATCTCTTCTCCATTGACAACTTCTACTGTGCTTGAATTGGCTTTCACTACAATATCATTATGTGATTTTGATGCAGCAGTTTTATGATATAAAGCTGAACTAATCTCTGAACTATATGCTTTTATGGCATGTCCATCATTGTTCATCACCATTAACACCTGAAAAACATTAGATTTCTTGAATTACCAGTTATTCCAAGGGGAAGAAAGTACAGAAAATTTGTATTTAAGAAAAAGAACATCCAGAAGAAATGTGTTAATGGCTTCTGGTATACATTGCATAAAGAAAACAAAATAAGATTTCTTAAGGAATCAAGAAGAGTATGATGAGTTGAGAACAGATGGACATTACAAGTTTGTGATCATATGTTTCAATGAACTCATAATGATTTCGACCCAAGCATTTCTGTTGTTGTCCATCTAATCAATAACCATTCTCCTAGAAAACCCTAGCAAACCCTAATTGACTTTTTAGCTGATTTTGATTTATCTTCATGCCCACTATTTCCAAATAAAGGTGCTCGTTCGTTTGAAGGTCAAAAGGACTAGTTTTCAACTTCGACATCTATATAAACCTTTAGATCTAAATGCAATCAACTCCAAAATCAAAATTGCTTACAACTGCAATAACTTCATAGCCTGATTAGCTGAGTTTAAAAGCCAGAAAATTTGAGTTTATAGGTCAAAGTCTGTATTTTTCCTGAAGCAAATGGAGCCCATTTCATCGCTAACATAAAAAACCACACGTTTGACGTCGCTTAATACCTGTAGGATCTTTATACTTCTCAACCCTAATGATCGTACCTTACTAATAATCAATTGATTCATATAGAAATTCGCATACATATGCAGTTCATTATGTAAGTTCACAAAACCAAATTGTTAAGCTCGAGACACGAAGATTGAAACAATCAAATACCTTGGAACGGAGAAGGTGGGGGTGTGATCGAGCACGGAGATGTAATCTGTTGTAAGCCATGGAGAAACATGATGTTTGAGAGATTACTGAAGACATGTTGCACCGATTATCGCAAATACTTTCTGAATCTCGAAACAGAATTGTTGAAGGGAAGATTTAGGCGTTTTTTTAATGGATGTTTATGTTCCTCGGTCTCGTTTGGACAGCGCTGAATTTTGAGGGGGGTAGTTGGCACATTTGACAATCATTCCCAATTTTTAAATAAAATTACATAACTAGTCCCTGTGTTTTATAAAAAGGAGATTTACATGGAAGTCTATTTTGATTCAATTTAGCACTAAAGATCTGGAGGTGTTTGGTTTTACTTTTAAACTGATTTTTAAGATTTTTGATTTTTCAAAAAGTCAAAAGTTTAAAAAGTTGTTTGTTAATTGAAAAAGATCTTTTTAAAATAGCTTTTTAAGAAGAAGAAGAAAAATGAGGTTTTTAAAAAGTTAGGTATCTATGACTTTTGGCAACTTTTGTTTTTTTTCCGTTTCCCCCTCAAAAGTTTAAACAAACACATTTTAAAATTATCTTTTGAAAAAAGATATGAATCAAAAAGTTCTTTTCTAAAAAGAATTTTTTGATCTAAAAAGCTATCCCAAACACCCCCTAATCACATTTAATTAAGTCTTGAAGTATCAATTTTTATTTGATCTTCCTCTTGCAACCCCAAACAACCGTTAGTCGGTTCCTAATAGTAAGGTCTCAATTAATGGTGTTCAAATAGTAATGACCAGGAGAAAACAATGAAACATAGTTGTTTACACATTGCTTACCGGAGAGTATGTCAAATAATGATTACCACCATTCTTGAAATACGTCTATATTTTCCTTTTTCTTTTGCATAACACTTCAAAAACACGAACCCTAAAATCAAGCATCACCGGGAGCGATGAGTACTACAAGAAAAGGGAAACCATGAATCCATCGTTGATTTATCTACCATGGTGTATCTTTTTTTTTTTCCAAATGCTATAAGGTCCGAAAATGGAGATTGTGATAAAGTAGCAAAAATCAACTATGATTTAATTACTTATGACTCATTCAAGAAAGTACTAAGGGATCTGATCAAATATCATTGTGGTTATGTGTACTATGTTCTTCGTGCTCATACACTCACACAGGGGTTGAAGAAGATTCAAGATAAAAGTGTACTACGTAAAATTTGATGAAGAATTTTAGGAAGGTGATTCATTCGCATGTAATGGCATTCCCTTCTTGCACGCTCCATAAGATGAGGTAAAATTCCATTTCAGCCACAATCTAAATGATAAAACTTTAAGTAAATTGGTCTTTACTACTTAGGAGAGGAGGACATTGGTGATTCCTGATTTGTTGCTCCAAACTAGATAACGATCAACCTTATTACCCTGTATTTGATCCTAATATACATTGGAAGTTACAAAAACATATATTGGGTATGGGTTTTGAATCACTAAAACAATTGAAACATATGTTACAAAACTATGACATTGATAATGGTTATAGCATATGGTGGTAAAAGAACGAGCATTGTATGTGTTAGTGAGGTGTGACGAATATTATTATGAGGATCAATCCCCCTTTAGGCTTTAGGCATCTTGGAATGATGAGAATGAGGAGGCATTCCAAATCAAGTCTCTTTTATTCCCACACATACCATTGTTCTAGACAATTTCATATTGGAATTATTCTCACTTACATATAGACTTGGGAATCATTTCAAAATAGAGTTTTAGCCACTAGGAATGGAAACTAGAAGCTAAAATTACAAAGACGCTTAACACAAAATTGAACATATACCAATATATAAGGGGTAGGAAATATACATTAGATGAGTTAGAATGGTCATTAAAGGAACATTACTTTATGTTATGGAGTTATAGTAAGGAAATAAGAAGGTCGAACTCGGGGTCAACGGTGAAGATGGATGTTGACATTATACCTGATGGTACAACCTATTTCAGTAAGATATACATCTATTTCAATACTCTTAAAGATTGATGGAAAGTTGCTTGTGGGAGGGTTATCAATTTAGATGTGTATTTTCGAAAAGGGGTATATAGAGATGAGTTACTTTCTATAGTTGGAAGAGACGCCGAGAACCATATTTATCTCATTAGGTGGTTTTTGGTGGATGTAGAGAACAAATGCAAATGGAAATGGATTCTTGATAATTTGATGGATGTGACATCCGTTATTTTTTAGCACAAAAAAAAAACTTTTCTTTACGCTTTAAAAATCACAATGTCTTTGTTTGCAGAAAATCCAAGTACAATAAAACATTTGCGGAAACTATTTCGTTTTCTCAAAATATCATGAGTAAAGATGTTGTTTCTGAAATACAAAACTCTAAGCATGTTATAATTAATACACAACATATGTCACAGCGTAAAGACATAATGGTCCTAAACACGATTGGAAGCTATCTCTTAATTACTCGATATTCTAGTTAAGTTACAACAACTTTAGCCTTGTTACCTATGATGCATGTAATTTGAGTGGGTAAGGTTGGGAAACCCGGTGAGATACATAGGATTTTTAGTCCCACAATATTGGTATGATAATAATTTAAAATTATCAAACCTGTAAAACCAATTGTTACCAAATAATATAGATATATCCCATAACTTTCATATCTATAAAACATTACACCCAGACATACCCATCCCACATAATTCTCACAAATCCTATTCTACGACTATCAGGAAGAATTAACTCACCTGGTGAATCGTTTAGAACAATGGTTGATTACACAACTAGGGGATTCCTTGGCCAGTGTAAGTCATAAATGTACCTAAGCCTTCTAAGTATTTGATAAATGTTGTATCTTATTTCATCTACATATGTGGGTTATAAGTCCACACTAACAATGTAATTTAAAAGACTAGATAGAATGGTCAAATAGTGTCATCTTACTCTGATAGATGACCAGACATACCTTCTGCTTTAATCTCATATCTTACCCCAGAATGAGACTACGCAATATCCAACCTATTTAAATTAAGCATCCTTATATCTTTAGTGTATAACTAGACCAAACTATAATATAAATGGTCAACTTTGAATAAGGACCCTATGTTAATGCAATATCATTATAATACATGGTATAACTAAGTACTTATCCAACTTAATTCAAACTAATCATCCTTTATAAGTCTTACTTTATCACTAGACAAAACTATAAAGCGTATAAACAATTCCCAAAACCTCTTTCCTATTTATACAATACTTATCGCAATACATTGTACGATTACACTTTTATCCAACTTAATGGGATCTAAATATCCTTTATACGCCTCAGTTTAAAACTTAGACAAGACTACAATCCTTGTACTCAACTTTCAATACCAACCCTATTTAGACAGCACTATCATAATTCAGTGTATATATTTAACACATAATATTAGGTATTTAATATACATTAATCTTTTAAGTAATAATACTTTCATAATATTATCATGTAACGACACCATATATATATATATATATATATATATATATATATATATACACACACACACACACACGCACACTTTAACACGTATATAACCTTATTTGGTTCACTTAGTGTATTTTATCAAATATCCAGTTAACACATATTCCATGTAATAATCATTTAATTCATATATAACATTTCAACTGATATTTAGTACTTTTAATAATTACTTATATTAAATCATGTTCATGACATCAATTATGCACTCACATGATAAATGTAGATGACTTGAGGGAAAGTCAACTCTTTGACTTCAACTTCAAATTTCCATTTAAACCAACTAAACGCAAATATTACTAAGCCTTAGTACTTGTTTTTATTTATAAAGTTTATTCGTAATAATCTTTTTTTTTCTCAAATTTATTAATAATCCCGAAACATTAGCGACTTATATTTGATAAGGAAAAACCAAGCAAGATCATATTGAAGGTAGGATCTGTTTGGTATATAGAGATATACTGTTTGGAAAATACATTTTAAACAGCTCACAAATCTATCCTAGATGTCACTCATGTAAGTAGATAGATTAGTAAAATGACTGATATTATTGATAAATCTTATTTATAAGTTCATAATAATGTTTATGAACATAAATATAAGTTACACTTAAAGCACGGTAAATATAACTTGACATATAGGTTTTAACGGAAGTATAGGAAGTCACGGGAAGAACTTCGACTTTGAATACTTCTCTTTCTCCAGGCTTTCCAATTCCAGAACGCCTCGTTACAAAACCTTCGAGACTCAAAAAGCACGAATTCTAGAGAGAGAGAGAGATTAGAAGGAATGAGCAAGAAAAGAAAGGAACATTTGAAGTCTATTTATAGTGGATCTAGACGAAGGGCACGTCGTGCCTATGTATGGGTGCACCACATCTTCAACGTAAGGAGCAAGATATGCTTCTGGAGGCGACACATTGCATTCCATGTAATTCTCACAATTTTAAAAAAAATTATATTTTTCGCATACCAGCTCCGTTTTCAATGTTTATTATATCCAACTTTCATATTGACGAGTATTTCAGCTTTCATCTAGACTTCATCGGCTAATTTGCATTTTATTTTTTTAATTTTATAGTCGATAAGGAATATATTATAAAATGATACTGCGAAACTCATAACTTCTTCATACGAGCTTCATTTTCGACGTTTTTTATATCAATGGCTTCGTATCGAAGAGCACTACAACTTTCGTTTAGATTATTTTGTGTAACGATCAACCAATTTTCCGTATCGAAGAGTAGTGTGTCACACTCGAAACTTTGAAAAATCACAACTTCCTCATACGAAGTCAAATTTAGGCATTATTTATATTGTCGGTTTTATGTTCACGACTACTACGACTTTCATTTAGATAACTTTGACAAATAAGCAACCAATCTCCGATCCATATTGTATGACACACATCGTTGTGCAGGGTTGAATGTAAAACTTCGAAAAATCATAACTTCCTCACATGAAATCAAATTTAACCGTTCTTTATATCCACATGCTCATGCTTATAGTCTCTATGACTTTCGTTTAAATTATTTATCCAAAATAATCTTTTTATCTTTACATTTATTTTATTGTTTCAACAATCGTCATCAGCGGTCAAGTCGACGATGCAGTCGAAGATAGCGGAGGTAGGCGACGGTAGTCCGATGACCTCTTCTCCGCAAAATAGGTGTGTGAAGCAACCATCAATTTTGAGTTGTGCAGACGATGTAAAACAGTAAAGCAAGGAGGCGGTGGAGAAGAGCTGAGAGGGCAGTGGCGAAGGGTGAAGAAGGCGAGTAGGCGGTGGAGGTTATCGAGAACGAATATGGAGAAATAAAATGATATTTATCCTTTAAAATCGATGAAGGCGAGAAGACGGTGGAGAGGTGATATTTGATTGAATCGGAGGATTCCAGAATCGGAAACGTTCAAGAGAGAAATCGGTGTCTTCTAGGTAGGTTGAAGAGAGCATAATACGAATAAAGCAAAAGCAGTGGAGGTAAACACATATACACTAGCAGTAGATATCATAACACGTGGAAACCTACAAAAACAAATTCAATCGAATTATTGAAATAGTAAAATACATTTAGTCATTTACTATCTATCTTATCTCTCAAACCCTACGTAATCCTTTCACAAACCAAGCAGAACTAAATGAACTAATCTATGCCATGATATTTTAGCTCACCATTTTTAGGTTTCGCCGTGTACGAACTACTACCATTAGATATTGATTTAAATACATATAAATACTAAATTACATCCAAAGTCAAGAAGCCAATTAATACTTTGTACATTTCCAGGTTTACAGCAATAGACTTAAATGTTCCGAAGATAACCTATCCAGATATCAAAGTTAACTTTTGAATTGTGGACTTGAGGTGTGTTTGATGATCAGATTTTGAGACTTTTTAGAAACTTTTTAAATGTCAGATTTTAGAATTATAAAAAACTTCGTTTATTTGAAACTCTTTGTTAAAACTTTTATTTAAAAAAGGAACTTATAATATGAAAGTTACTTCAAACTGATTATTAAAAAAAAAAACCTTATATTTTATATCCTTTTACATTTATAATTTGTTTTTTAAAGTTATTTATATCGAACATTTCTATATACCAATTAATTTTACCAAACAATACCTCCCATGGAATTGTCGTATACCAGGATACCTCACTACACGACATAAAAGGAATAATGACATGTCCTAATCCAGGTTGACATTGATACAAGACATGGACACTGACCTATAACCATTACCATTAATGAGAGAACACTTTATATGGATGGAAACATATTGTTGGACATAACTATTGGATATAATGTAGGAGTTTTTAATGAGAAACAAACTCTTGTCTTTCCTATAAACCAACTTAAGCATTCATCTCTTGTAGTTATAATGTTTAGAACTTCAACTTCATTGCTGAGTAATCGCAAAATTTATAAAGGATTCACCATTGAAAAACTCGTGCTTTGTAAATAACCTAGCATATATTACAATATCAAGAAACAAAATTAAGAAAAGGAGATATGAATAGAAAAATAAAAGTAAGGAGTTTAATTCCATTCACATTTTAGTAATTGTAGATGACCTAACATATCTTACAATATCAAGAAACAAATTAAGAAAAGGAAATATGAATAGGAAAAAAAAAAAAAAAAAAGTTGAGTTTAATTCCATTAACATCTTAGTAATGGTAGATGGTTGGAGGAGTTAATGTCAATAATATACACTTTTATTTAAAAGAATTCAATGGTCACCAATTTCAATGTCGGTTAAACGTTCTCCACAAGTATTTCACATGCTTTGGTGACTGACTCACACGCGGCACTCATGCGCGTCATATACGTTGGTCCATTCAAAAAGGCAACACAAAGTATTCTTCTTCAAATTCACAGGGTTTAGCAACGTGTTCTTTTTTTCTCCTAGAAAATTCTTTTGGAGAGCTTTTAACTTGTATTTTTTAAATAAAGATAATTGAAATATTTAATATTATTTGGATAATACGATTTAGTTTGTGAATATAGATAATTGATTTGATTTGTTGAAAATGTTAATAGCAGTGTTGTTAAAATTGAAATCTTATCAAATATTGTTTTATGTTTTTGTAAAATCAATGAAAGATTGGATTTGGATAAGAAGATTCAAATTACTTGTGAGTCTTGGATGTACATTATATATTATAAGTTATAACTTTATATGTGGATTAAAACGTCAATCAACTCTAACTTGTTATGCATTAATCACAATTTTTGTTATTAAATACCATAAATATTAATTAAGAAGAAAATATTTTAATTACAAAAAATTAAAATCATTGTGATCCGCTATAATTAAAGGCTTAAAATTACAAAGTGAATATTATGAGTATACTTATATTTAATTTGAGATGAATTGATAAATTGATGATGTTCTATGAGCCTTCTTGCAATTAGTGATACTCAATTTCAAATTGAATAAAAGGGTTTTTTAGGTTTGATTATATAATGAAACTAAAGTAGGGATGAGCAGTTTGTCCCAAATCTCGAACCTGTATCGGTACCGTACCAGAACCGATACCAAACTATACCAATTTAAAAATATGAGGCGGTACTTAGTACTCCAAATACATGAAATTCAGGAATCGATACCGACGGTACCGGTATGTACTAGTACCGAAAACCGTTATCATTCCCAGTACCGGTATCAATGATGTTAATCGGTCCGGTACTTAGGATTAACTTTCGACCAAATTCGGTTTTCAGGAAATCGGAAACGATGTGGGTCAGTACCGGTTCCATCCCACACTCATCCCTAAACTAAAAGATGAAATTGAATCATGTTAAGATCTTAAGATCTTAGTCGAAATCTTAAAATCCGACTATAGAGGGTGTTTGGGGTTGATTTTAAAATAGCTTTTGGCTTTAATTTTTCCAAAAAAGTTAAAGAAAAGCCAAAAGGTGTTTAGATCGTTCAAAAGATCTTTTGGAAATGACTTTTGACAATAAGAAAATAAGGAGCTTCTAAAAGTCACAAAATCATGACTTTTTATTGTTTTACCTATATAAGTTAAATCAAAAGTTCTTTTGTTAATCCAAACACGTTTTAAAGATCTTTTTTTGCAAAAACATTTTACAAAAAGTCATTCTACAAGAACTTTTGATGCTCAAAAATAATCCCAAACATCCTCTAAATCTTGCTTCAAATAACTCTATTGAGATAGGGCTTGTTTTTCGTTTGTATGATCTTAAGATAAGATTAGGATATTAATAACCATATAATACTACAAAAACGTTTAAAAGGAAAGAAGTCTAAACCAGTTAGAATATATAAAAATATATTCTTTATACTCTTATGGAGAGATATTGCGAAAACTGCGTCGACATATATGAAAAGATAAATATATAATTATCATTTTCAACGGCCAAAATATTAAATGAAAGCATGAAAAAGGATCTATCAATTTTAAGCATAATAATAAAAAAAGAAAAGAATAAAAAAAAAAAAAAATGATGAAGATATCAATAACTTTCCCGCAACTAATAATAAACTAAAAGGACAATTTGGTAATTTCGCATAAAACGGGGGCAACAAATAAGAACTCGGGAAAACAACAACAACGACGCACCCCATTAGAGACCCGTTTCCAGGATAAAAACCCAAAAATTTCTGAACACCAAACTCAGGGTTTGCTGCAAAATTCCGTTTTTCAGGTTTCAGAGGTAAATCTAAGTTAACTTGTCTTTGCTTTCAGTTGATTTCTAATCTGCAACCTCGATCTGACTTTTGTTCACTACTATTTACTTCATTTGTTTCAAATTTAACGTTGGTGTTCGAACGAATCTCTTGTTTGTGGTGTAGTGATCATGGATGGTTGGAGAGATCAAGGTGTTAATTACAATCAAGAGGTCACAAGAACAAGGCCAAATAGCTACAGAAAGCCTCCTCCTCTCGGTATGATCGTTTAACTGTTTTGATTTTTGTCGATTTTGCTGTAATGATGCTGTTCGCCTTTGTCTCTATTCTCTTTATGGCATGAATTTTGAGATTCGGTTCTAATCACGCTTTTCATCTTCTAAAACGAGTTAATGTGCTGCTGGAAAATTTCTTTTCTGCATTGGGTTGCGTGCATTTTAGGATTGGATGAACGAAAAATCTAACGAACACCACCAAATCTGCTACTGATCTCTGCAATTTCTTTATTTTTATGATTAAGAGAATATGAGTTTGCTACAAATGTTTGTTTATATAAAGCAATTGGTGTGATTTCAACGGTGGCCATATATTTTCCCTAAATTTAGTATATGCCCTAATGGCCTAATCACTGTTTCGCTTCCTAGGTTTTGGTTTCGTTATCACTTCTGCTCATTCATCTTTCATATTCCTTCAAATTCCAATTCCTTTGTTCCTTCAAAACTAGCATTCACTTCACCCAAACTATATTTAATTCTTCAGGTGGGAATCCAAATTGGCAACAAAGCGTACCTTCATGGGAGAAAAAGTTTTGCTCTTCAATTGGCTCAATTCCATGGAAAAAACTTGTGGAAACAAAAAGATTCATCCATCTCTATGACAATGTAATCAAATGGAACGATTCCGCGGGGAAAGAAGCATTCCAATCTGCAAAAAACAATTTCTACGCAAATATACACGGCCTTCCTTGCGACAATCGGCTACCCGATCCCGATATCTACATCGACAATATCGATTGGGATTCCGAAGTTGATCCGAATCTGATTCTAGACCTGGATTCCGATTCCGTAGTTCCTGATTCCGGTTCCAAAGACGAACAAGAACAAGTAGTAATATTTGGCTCCAGCTTTCCCCCTTCCTATCAAAGCTTCTCACCTTACGGATGGGGGGATAGCGATGATGACAAAAAGAAATCCCCCAACCCCAATACATCTCCGGAATACAACATTGAAGGAAACACAAGGGGTGTTGTTGACAATAATAATAGTTGGTGGGGGTGGAGTGAAAATGTGGACAAAACGAAAGGTGATCAAGAAGACCATTGGGGTTGGAATATGAAAATGTATGATAATAACAACTGTTTTTATGGTGATGTGAGTAACAATGGGAACAACATGTCGAGGTATAAAACATCGAGGTTTATGAAAAATCAGCCTCGGAGGAGCACCGGAAACGGGAGGCGGCATGGTGGTTCACAGGCGGCGTATGGTTGTGCACCGGTGAACCATGGTGGTGCTCCGGCGGGAGGTGGACATAGATGGAGTGTAAAGAAAACGGTTTCTTGAATTTAGTGGGACTGGTTTTTGCTCGATGAGATGCTTTTGTGGAAAGTGCGGAGAGTTGAATGTTATGTGAGTGGGAAAAGTTTTGTAGTGGTTTATGTGTTGATCTCTTTGTACAGGGTTCCAAGTTAATAATCCATGTCTTCGTATTAGTGTGTAATTGGGTGCTAATTGAATCGAAAATGAGTGGATTCATACGTATGATGTTTGTATTTGACAGATTTTTTATAAATTATAACTATTAATATATGAATACAAGTAATTTATGATGTTGAAAACCTAATCTAGACGATTATAAATGGTTACTCAATTAAAGTCCAACTTTCGTGTTTAAATGGTCCTTCAATTAAATATTGTACATTTTAACCGTTAAAGTTGAAAAATGCATGTCACAAGATGTAATGGAGGGAGGTTATTGCTGCAGTAAGGAAGTAAGATAAAGACGACGTTGCATCTACATAAAGTCATAATGAATAAATAAATATAAATTCTTTTAATAAAATATAATATATATCAAACGGTTTGACCCACAAACCCAAATACATAACTCAATCCGATCCATGAAATAAGTGGGTTGGTAGGTCAGAAATCTTAAACCAAATCCGTTTATTCTTATGTAGGTTTACTAGATGGGTGGAGAATTGTCACCCCTAGTCGTGGCCCTCTTCGACGATCTCTTCACTTCCTATTTCCGGCTAACAACTTCCATTTCTACTACTTCATCCAAGCACATCGTCGCCCGCCTTCCCTTCCTTCCACCTACGAATTAAACCTTGATTTTCTGGAACATACATGGCTCCAACAACAATGGCGTCTTTGTTTTGCAACTCTACTTGTCACACCCCCAAACCGGAGCGGCAGAAACGTCCGAGGTTGGATGATTTCATGGTAAGTATAACAACACATGCATCATAGTACAACAAACATTCTACTAATAATGTATAAGTTTTACGTAGTATTCAAGTCAAATGTATATAACATCAAAAGTAGATATAGCAAAAAACAAAAGATGCAACTCTATACTGCACTGCCTTCTCAAAATCCTAAGTATGTACATATATATTGGTTCCCTAAGAATACAAGTGTTTAAAAAAAGAAAGTATCAACATTTAAGTTGGTGAGTGCATAAGTATTTATGTTTAACAACTTGTTTTTTGTTTCTTGAAATAGTAATTATGTTTACTGTTCCAAAAAATCCAATATTTTCTAATATAACTGAAAGTAGTTTTAATATCATAAACCGTTCTGTGTAAGTGTTGTTGTACTATAAAATAGTGTAACATAGTTTTAGTTTACAATAAAACTATAAAAAGATTATTTCCCGTATTGTTTATGTTTTTCAAGTTCTCAAAATTTTACTCTTTGAAAACCCTTTAAATATAAGTGTGCCTGACTCCACAGTATATACTTATTATTGTAAAACCAATATTTTGTATCTGTACTCTTTAAAACAATACTTTGTATTCATACTCTTTGGTTTAATTATTTATACACTAATCGTATATGTTCATATCTTTTTCTGAGTTATTATAACCATGTTATGACTAGTAAGCATGATATGACGCTTTGTAGGTGCCGAAACTGTAATGACATTTGTCACTCATAGGCATACCAACCTAACTGTAGCGAACAATTTGTGTGCACGATTGTCAATCCCGTATAGATCTATACAAATTTGTTGAGCTCTCTGTCGGGAAATTCTTGTTATAATTATCAGATCTTTAATATTATTGCTTAAATAATTAAGCGAGTGAACTTTGTCTCACAAAAACCATATTAACGATTACGTATATAATAATTATGAAAAGTCATTCTGAAATAAATGAACTGATAGTATGATTTTTTTTAGTATACTCGAATGTAAAGTAGTTATACGAGAGTATACCATTAAACTTTATATAATTGATTAGTGATAATAGTATGAAAGTTCCATAAATTATACCTATTATAATTTATATGTGTGTTCTGTTTGATATGTAATATTCATGAAAGTACCCTCTTTGCTCGACATGTTACAAAGGGGAGATGAATCTGATTGGATATATATATATATATATATATATATATATATATATATATATATATATATATATAAGAGAGAGAGAGAGAGAGAGAGAGTTATGTTCAAATGTTTTACTATCTATTGTGTGTTTGAAAGATTAATTATGGACCAATCATTTTAGTTATGTTAAGAAAGTAATTAATGCATATTAAATGCTGAAGTTCTAATTAATGCTCATTATATCTTTAACATCTAATATGCATTAATTACTTTCTTAAAATACTAAAATGATTGGTCCATAATCAATCCTACATGCACACAATAGATAGTTAGAACAATATAACCTAATCCTATATATATATATATATATATATAATATATATATATATATATATATATATATATATATATATATATGATTTTGGCAAAATATTAGTTTAAAAGAGTTTGACAATATTTAAAAGAGTTTCAGTAACTTAAAGTTCGTGTAGCAATATTTAGAAATCATTTTATTATAAATAGAGTATTCTTTTGTTACACTTGTATTCCCCCCTAAAATCGTGAAAATAGTGAAAATGTAGGGATATGAACTCACATTTTGTGAGTTTCTGGTTGAAGATACAGTGTGGTAGAGCTAAATCCACAAGTTAGAACTGATGATAAAAACCGAATCCTAATTTATATTAACATAAAATTAAGTATAAATTAGATAATCTAGAAATGTTTAAAGTGTTAAACAACACTTAATTATTGTAAGAAGACTTACAATAATTCTTAGAATAGTGTGTGGGTGTTCTTGGAGTTCTTCGTGAAAACTTGTGTATTTTGGTGTTTTCGACCCAAAATAAGAAGATTGGAAGGTGTTTTTCGGTGAAATCAAGCACAATAGATGATATTTGTAAGATTTTCAAGAAGAATCAAAGGATTTGCGCATGAAATTCATGAGAAATGAGATGTTTCACATGTTCTTGAGAGGAGAGGGGAGACTTCGGTTGATGATCCTTGAGAGAAAAGAGGAATTTTCGACTGAATCTTGTAAAAATGAGGAGTATTTTTAGGTTTTATATATATATATATATATATATATATATATATATATATATATATATATATATATATATATATATATATATATATATATATATATATATATATATATATATGTGGGTTTTCGGCCGAGAACACAAACCTAGGAGATGGGTTCTCTGTTGGGAACTCTACCTGAGGAAGGCTAGCTTTCGGTCAGGAACCCTTCCCGAGGAGGATAAGCATGTGAGGTTTTCGGCCGTGAACACTATGTCGGCTTCGCATGTTTTCGGCCGAGAACTCGCTTTCGGTCCGAAATGGGTTTGCGGTGCGAAGGGGTTTGCTGTCTGAGGTTTGTTGCTGTAAATAGTTTGTGGTCCGAAGTGTTAAGGGAGTCCAAGGGTTTTCGGTCTAGGCGAGAATCCTCGTTTTCTTGAGTGTTTTAACTTCCAAAGTTTACAACACTTTAACACAATGCTTATACATATCAAATTGTTTTATTTTAACGTTATTAAATTAGCAAAACAATAAATTTGACTTTTATTTGACATGTTTGACTTTTGTTGACTTTTACAAGATAGAAAATAACGGGTTGTCACATTATCCCCCCGTTAAAGGGAATTTCGTCCCAAAATTAAGACTATAGAGATACAGTAAGACTAGGAAAAGAGATGCAGATACATTTGTTTCATTTGATCCTCCCGTTTCCAAGTGAATTCAGGTCCCCGCTTTGCATTCCAGCGAACCTTCACTATCGGGATACGACTTTGTTTAGTTCTCTTGGCTTCCTTGTCTAGGATTTCTACTGGTTCTTCCATGAAATTGAGGCTCTTGTTTATCTCGATTTCATCGAGTGGGATAACAAGAGTCTCGTTGGATAAGCACTTATTTAGGTTAGACACGTGGAAGGTAGGGTGCATGTTACTGAGTTCTTGAGGTAGTTTGAGTTTGTAAGCTACTGGTTCGATTCTAGCAAGAATCTCGAATGGTCCGATGTACCTTGGATTTAGTTTTCCATGCTTTCCGAAGCATATCATGCCCTTCCAGGGTGAGACTTTCAACATGACGTGGTTACCAATCTGGAATTCCAAGGGTTATCTTCTCTTGTCTGCATAGCTTTTCTATTTGTCTCTGGAAGCTTTCAGTTGTCCCGAATTTGGACAATCTTTTCTGTGGTTTCACGAATGATCTCAGGACTGGTTAGAGTACTATTAGGTATTTGGTTCTTTTCTAGTTGCGTATCGCCCAATTCAGCCCAGCATAGAGGAGATTTGCACTTACGGCCATGGAGAGTTCAAAAGGTGCAACTTTGATGCTAGTGTGATAGCTATTGTTGTAGGAGAATTCAACTAGTGGTAAATAGGTATCCTAAGCTTTACCAAAATCTATCACACAAGCTCTTAACATGTCTTCTAGCGTTTGTATGGTTCTTTCGCTTTGCCCATCAACTTGAGGATGGTACGCTGTACTCATATCAAGATTTGTTCCCCAAGACTTTTGCAATGATTGCCAAAACCGCAAGGTAAATCTACTATCTCGGTCAGAAATAATAGATATTGGCACACCATGCAATCATACTATCTCTTTAATGTACATCCTTGTTAACTTCTCCATTTTATCAATTTCTTTTATTGGCACGAAGTGTGCGGAGTTGGTTAATCTATCAACGACTACCCAAATGGTATCATAACTAGCCGTTGTCTTGGGTAACTTAGTTATGAAATCCATTGTAATCCGTTCCCACTTCCATTCAGGAATTTCTGGTTTCTGTAGTAGACCCGAATGCTTTTGGTATTCTACCTTGACTTTGGCACAAACTTGCCCACATAGGTAGCAATCACAACTTTCATGTTAGGCCACCAATAAAGTTTCTTAAGGTCTAGATACATCTTGTCTGAACCCGGGTGAACGAAGTATCGTTTCTTGTGTGCTTCATTCAGGACAACCTTTCTGTAACCACCGAACTTTGGTGTCT